CACGCTGAAGTGTACCTTGTCGGGCATCCGGAAAGACGTAAACTAAGTGATTTTTGCTACTTTTTTTTCAGATACCGACTTATGCAAATTCCGACTTGAGTCAAGTCTACTCGGCTTTCGGCATCGTGGTTTGTGGGACACAGACGCACTACATTATTCCGTGTTCCACTCGCGCTCGCAGGATAACTAATATTAAATAACCGACAAACAGATCCTTGTCATTTGATTGGTGGAACTCACATCACGTGGCATTCGTTATTGCTCCCATTCATGCCGCGGCTCAAAAAGTACTATCCGCCCATGGGGAATAATGGGAAATACTATTCAACAGTTAGGATTATGACGCGGTATTTGTGTGTAAATGTTGTTGTTCCAAGGAGCCAGCGCTACAGCGTTGGGTTCAAACATTTTCGTGAAGGGGTGGTTTGGAAGAGAGAATTACATTTTCCTCTAGTTTTGAATTGAAAAATAAAAAGTTCAAATATATCAATTGACAAGGATCTATATGTCAGTTATATAAAACAAATATTGAGTGGCTTTAAATTTTGAAATGGGAGGAATATTATCGCTCGGTAAAATCTGGACTTTTCCAGTTCACTCGGCTTCGCCTCGTGAAATGAAAAAGTCCAGATTTTACTGGGCGATAATATTCCTCCCATTCCACGCTGAGCCACTCATTATTTGTATAATATACGCATCGTAACCTTGATATTGTTGATTAATACGTGTGTTATATTGGTAAAATAATAACCGAGTATATGCAATACGCAAGTATATATATACGCATCGTAACATTGAAACCGTTAATTAATACATCAGTGTTATATAAGTAAGGGCCCTGTCACACTTCTGCGTATCCTAATTCATTATGAGTTGCGCATTGACTTTTTTTCATACGCACAATACTCACCTCATATGCATCTCTATCGTTTTATGTAAGTTTTATGTACGCAGGCATACGCATGGTACGGCCCAGTACGCTGGATAGTTTTGGGCATGCACAAAACTACGTTGCGTACGCTGCGTACGCTGTTAGGCAGGTCATAAGTTATAAATACGCAGCGCATCGGTCCCGCATCGGTCGAGCGCGGTACGAGTACGCTATGTGCTCGTGAGGGATAAGCCGTTCATACGCGGCAATACGCTGACCTCCTATATTGGACGTATACATAGCGACGTATTGCACGAATTAGTACCGATCGTCTTGCGAGCGGGCAGCGCATTGTACTTATTCGTAACTTATGACAAACGCACAGATGGCGAACTTGCGCACTGCATACGCAACTCATACGCATCTCATACGCAGTGGATGCGCTGAATTCGTTACTTGTTCGCTAGATGTGCGTCGCACATATGTCAAAGTAATCAAAAAATTTCGACGTTTTTGATCGTACGGCTGCGTATTGAAAATTGTTGATAAGGAAATCATAAGGAATTGGGATACGCAAAAGTGTGACAGGGGCTTTAGGGCCCTGTCACACTTCTGCTTATCCTAAATCCTTATGAGTTGCGCATTGACATTTTTTTCATACGCAGTCGTACGCACAATACGCACCTCATATGCATCTGTATCGTTTTGTGTAGGTTTAATGTACGCAGATATACGCATGGTACGGCCCAGTACGCAGGATAGTTTTGGGCATGCACAAAACTACGCTGCGTACGCTGTTACGCAGGTCATAAGTTATAAATACGCAGCGCATCGGTCCCGCATCGGTCGAGTGCGTTACGAGTACGCTATGTGTTCGTGACGCACCCCGTCAGCATATGAGCCGCCTGTATTGGACGTATACATAGCGTACTTGCAGCGCAGATGCAACGCACGCTGAACGGCGAGCGGCCGAAATGCGGCGGTAATACGCTCAGAAGTGCTTCAAGCATGCGGTCGGCATAAGTCGGGTGCGTCCGAAATACGCTCGGCATGCGCACTGCATACTGACCTATTCACAGCTCGAAAAAAATAATGTTGCGCACTGCATACGCAACTCATACGCATCTCATACGCAATGGATGCGCTGAATTCGTTACTTGTACGCTAGATGTGCGTCGCACATAAGTCAAAGTGTTCAAAACATTTCGACGTTAATTGAGCGTACGGCTGCGTATTGAAAATGTTTGATAAGGAACTCATAAGGAATTAGGATACGCAAAGGTGTGACAGGGGCTTCAAATAATAACTGAGTAAATATTTTGCAAAACGCAAATATATACTCATCGTACCTTGATACCGTTAATAAATGAGTGCTATATGTAAAATAACAACTGAGTAAAATATAAATGCAATAGGCAAATATAATTGTAATAAGCAATTGCATGCACGCATCATAACCTTAGTACCGTTAATAAGCATATTATACGTAAAGGAATAACTGAGTAAAATATAACTGCATTATTAAGGGAATAAATGTGTGCTCGAGAGGTTTTAATCACTCTGTTTAAGACCGCAGAGTCTACCCGAGCCGAAGGCGAGGGTAATTATCAGCACCCAGACTCTAAGCGGTCTTAAACAGAGTGATTAATACCGACCGAGCACATATTTATTCCCATTCATAAATACCTTTTCGGTAAAACAAATGTAATATTTCGGTCAAAAAATCCCGATTTTGTTAACAAGTTCACTTCATGCTTTTTGAAACATCCCTCTAGTTAAATGGGGCCGTATCATAAGTCCGTCGCCTCATAGGTCCGACGCCTCATAAGTCCGAAATTTCGGACTTATGAGGCGTCGGACTTATGAGGCATAAAATCTATTTATTCCGCCTCATAGGTCCGACGCCTCATAAGTCCGACGCCTCATAAGTCCGACAACGGAAAAACGAGGCGTTTAATTTGTCGGAATTAAGAGGCGTCGGAGCTATGAGGCGTCGGAGCTATGAGGTTTCGGACTTATGAGCGGACCCCAGTTAAATAATGGAGTGTTCAGCTGGCGATTAAGATGTTAACAACCCTTTTATGAAGATTGACGCGCGCGTGGCACGTTCTGTGCGATGTCGCGCAGAACGCACCTGGGGCGTTGCGTTTTGAATTTAGAACTATAAAATTCTGACTCACTGGTAGTGTTGCGCATGCCTACGCGAGGACTGTGAACGTTCAACCAATAAAACGGTAAGAGGCACTGGATTTGTAGGAGTCCACATTTTATGTGACACTGGAAAAGTGTTTAAGACCAACTAGCCATGTCTTTATCATCCGTTTAAGACCGGCCACGTGACGGGCTCTCGACCAATAGGAATGGCTAAATTGTCTGAGATTTTTTATGAATGTCCATTAATTGTAACATTTTTGTCATTATTAATTGCATTTTCAAACCATCACAACTGAAAGTAACGTCTTCTATCTAGCCCTAAATCTACGCTGCATCCCGTCCTATTTTTATATTTTCTAAAAGTGTAATTCCAGCCAGATTAGACACACGAAAGACCTTTGTTTTTTACACATAGCGAGAATGGGCTGCATGTTCTCTCAACTGTTGTTATATAGGATTGGGAGATTTTAGCCTTTCAGCTGTAGCAATAGGATGTCGGCGTTGCAAACATTATAATTTGCAAATAGCCATCCCGAGCTATTCGGAAAGGCGCCGAAAGTAAGAAACCAAAATGTTTGCAGTACTTAAATAATGTAACTCTGTACATGCACCCACAATCATATAGAAACAAAATCTAGAAAAAAATTAATGCTAGGCCTACACTTGTTCACAAAATTGCAGGGTTTTTTAAGTTATAGTCCATCATTTGCAGCCATCCGAAAAAGTAACTGGCGTATTATTGTTGAAAAACATACTTGGTTGAAAGATAGTAAGTGGACTAAACTCCCTGTGAAATTAATCTTTGTGGCAAGCTGTCATTTTGAAGTAATCAACGAAAGAAGGCCTTTCGACGCACCGTAGGAAAATTTAAATTAGTAGTTCGTTTTGTTATTCGGCGCAGCGCGCGCAAGCATTGGCACGACGCACAGGCGCGCGCAGTTGCTATAATTCGTCGGATCAGTGCGCGACATCGCGTATAGCTGCAATTCAAAACAATTCAAAACATGATTCAGCAACTTTTGATTTGAAATTGAGATCCTAGAATGCTGTTTTTCTCGGAATATACAGCTAAAGCTGAGCTGAAACTTCATCAGGTTAGTTGTTCAGTATCCTTCATTAGATTTTGAACACGTTTGTTGCTTCAAACGAACAAAGTGCACAAATTACAAATGATGGACTATATCTTTAAGTCCCTTGACACCTAGAAAAAAGCCGTAGGTATATCAATTGAACATTGGTGCGCTGAAGAAAAAAAATAAACATTACATTGTAAGAGTTTTTTTGAAAAATGACACTTATGACAAAAACGCAGAAATTGCCCGTGTGCTTGACGTGTTTGGTCGTAGGAGGACTCAACCTGAACCGTTAATTTTATGGATATCAGCCATCATAAAAGGTGTTTTTTAATTCGAATTCAAAAACAAAAAAATGCACAAAGTGTAAATCTTTGACTAACGCAGCGGAACAAATCATTGTCCTAAGATAGCTGCTTTGCAAATTGTCATACAGAGAAATTGCAAATAAACACAAAAACATTGTGGAGAAAATTGAAAACAAGAAAACAAGCTGGGCAATGTCAAGGGCGGATCCAGAACACAATTTTTTTTGGGGGGGGGCAAAAACAATTTTGGTCCCCCAAAAAGTGGGTCAAAAAAATTACGGCGTGGGGTACGTTTAAGGGCCCCGAAAAATTTTTTGGATTCTAGATGCTATGTGGTGCGATCTGAGGCAATTTCTGACCACTTTAACCAATTTTTTTTTGAGGAAAAGATCGTGGTGTACTCATTGCCTGCCTTTAGTGCGATGTCACATAAAAAAAAATGGTTTCGTTTGGGGGGGGGGGGGCATGGCCCCCTTTGCCCCCCCCCCCCCCCCCCCTGGATCCGCCCTTGGGCAATGTATACCACTGCAGTGGCTAGAACTGAGAGCCTTTGCCGGGATAGTAATTTGAAATGGGTCTGTTCAAACGGGCCGTTCAATTCAGCACTTCTTCATAAATCGATGTGGGAAGTGGTTGTTTCATATTAATGTTGACGGCGCCATCAGCCATATAGCATGGATTGTTGTTTCCCGAAGCATTGGCTTGGAAGTCAGATTGCAGGTAGTCTGAATCAACTTGATACGCTGGGGGAGGTGATCGGCAGTAAGATATGGGCGGAACGTTCACTACCCTTTCCTGGTTGTTCCGCTTCTTCTTCCTGTGTATCCGAATAAAAGATTGAAAATCACATGTGAAGTGGGTCTAACAATAGAGGTGATTATCGTTGATGTTATTATTAAGTCCAAACAAAGCTGTCGAAAATGTTATGAAGAGCAGAAAGACAATAAATTTCCCAAATGACTAATGAAACAAATTGTTACAAAACAAAGACCCACTATAAAGCAAGAAGAAACTACATTGAAAAATTAAGCAACTGAGTAAGCAACACGCCAGGACTAATTTTTTTCTGCCACAAGTGGTAAAAACATGGTTATCAATGTCACACTGCAATCTGAAATGTTAAAAGATCACATTTTCGACTTTGCTATATAAACTTTGATTCTTAAAAATTTTCTTCGCAAGCTGTGGAATCCAGTAACAAGCTGTCATTATTGATTGGCAAGTACTTCACAAAGTACAGCGTGTGTCAATAAAAACGCAGAATTCAAAGCGATTTTTTTTTCTAAGAAAATTATGCTACTGGTGTGCCTAATTTGGTAAGGATTTGATTGTCCATAATTTCATCTTTGACAAGATTTTTGTTTGGTGGAATTTGGACTTTTGGTTCAAAAGTTATGACAAGTTTTGTGAAGCCCTTCTGAAGCGGGTTGGTCTGATTCAATGACCTTAACACAACGACCAGTTATGTACAATGCAGGTATGCATTGAAGACCATTAAACCAGAACAAAACTTTCTTTGAAACAACTGATAAGTATCTCTGGACAGGATTGTCCAAATGAGATGGGATAAAAAGTATAGTGAAGAGAAGGAAAGGTACTTTGAAAAGAGGGTTAACGTTATGATGAATAGGGGTGGTTTATATTCTTAATATTTTTGTTTCTAATCCTGCGTTTTTATTGACACACGCTGTACTTCAGAACAAATGAATAACTTCAGAACAACCTAAAATGGAACAGCCAGGTTCAAGAATTGATTTCTAAGGATAGCAGACGCCTCCACATTCTTAGTCGCTTAAAAAAGTTTGGTGTTCCCAGAGAAGATCTTGTAACAGTCTTTACCTCATATTTTCGGCCCATTTTTGAATATGCTTCACCCGTGTGGCACTCTGGTCTAACTTCAAACCAAACTTCCAGTATCGAAGCAATACAAAATCCTTTTGGACCACGATTATTCATCCTACGATAATTCACCGTCTAAATTTAAAGTTAAGACCTTCGCTCACAGGAGGGAAGACCTTTGTTTACAATTTGCCAAATCTTGTGTTGTTTCTGAGCGTTTTAAGAGCTGTTTTTTTTTTAAAATAATTATACTCATGCAATGGAACTTCGGCAAAAAAACTGCATTTTATTGAACCTAAAGTCTGAGTTGAAAGGTACGGAAAAAGCTCTATCACGTATCTTACTAAATTACTTAACACACATGCTTGATGTTTTTACTTTTTACAGTGTCTGGGTTTTTCCAATGCATTCCGTTGTGTATGTGCAATTCTTACTTGATAAAACTGTTTTTTGAGCTCATTTTCTTATAATTTGCTAGCTTGTTTTTATATAGGAGTGGGGCTTTGCTATAGAATATTACAGGGGTGGGTCTTTACCATTAGTGTATTTTTTATATCTAATAATGTAGTATATTTTTGTAATGTAATGACTACTTTGATTTGAACTATTATAACTTTTTAAAATCATTTTATTATAAATTAAACCGCAATTTGGCCTTCTGGTCGCAAGTGTTTGATAATAAATAATATAAAAAAAAAAAAATACCAAAAAAAATAGGGGCTTGGTCTTATTAATTAGACAAAAGGCCATGTTAATACAGTCGGGTCATGTCCAAGGCGACCCCCTGCAAAGAATCCTAAAAAACAGACAATGTTTATTTTTTGCCCGCCTCAATTAAATGAACCTTACATTTTGAGTGCGATGATCACAATAATCAGCAGGACTATAATAAAGACAGCTGCCCCGCCTCCTGCAGTTATGGGTACCACTGGTATGGTGCGTTCTTCTAGAATAAAATCCAGAGAAAGGTATTATTTAAACAATATAGTCAAACCATCCAAACATGTCAGCAGTCATGGTCCAAGATTGGCTTTGGAATTTTGTTCCCATCCAACCACTGCTAATCGCAGTCGAGTTGCAGCGATGATAGAGGGCGCTACCACCGCGGATTTTAGGGTCCGATTGCCCAAGGGGAACAAACTCCCTATTCCAGTCAAGACTACGGGTTGACTGAAATACGGTGCGTTTTGAGACTACGGGTTGCCCACACCCATTTAATAATCCCGGGCTCGCGACAAGTGTTGTGTGGAAATTAACTCTATTATGAACACATTGCACATGAGTCACATAGTAAAAACTCAAATTTGTATAGGTTGAGAGTACTTCGGTGTAAAGGCGAAACCATTGCTGAACATGATATGAGAAACCTCTCATCTTTCACAGCTAATAGGCTTAAAGAGACCAAATTTAATATGTTCATATGAATATCTTCATTAACGGCAGAAAAGTCCGAATTCATCCAAACAGCATAGGGAACGGGCATTATGCTTTTGGGACAAAATAACCTTGAGGGGGACGAAATTAACGGGTTTTACCTAGGTAATTCCGTACCCCGAAGAGTTTTACCAGGAGACAGAATTACCGTACACACGTCCTGCATGCTGATGAACAATTTGCACTGTGATTGGCCTTCCAAGAAGTGTTACGTTCCTTCCTAGACCTATACAGGTTAACTATCTTTTAGTGGATATATTAAATCATTAATTGTAACCTACCTGGATCACTTTGTTCAGCCTGATAGCATTGCACTGATCCACCAGACCAAGTGCCGTCTGCCAAGCAAGCACGGCTCACATTATGACTGGACGAACCCTTGATGGAGTAGCCTCTATCACAGGTAAAGGTAGCCTCCTCACCAGGCGCAAAAACGGTGACATTTTTCAACAGCCTGACGTGGTTTGGCAAGAATGGAGCGTTGCAACCTACAACTGCAAACCAGACGAGAGATAAATAGTCAGACTATTTTGCAGTCCTAACCTACGAGACAATCACTGGTGACCTACATCCCTAATATTCGGACTTACTGATTTCAACCAGCATAATCTTGTGACGGAAATAAAAGTCACCAGCTAAACTTTAATGCCAAAATCAGTTTTTAAATATCGGTTGATGAATGGAAAATATGCAATTTCTAAACAAAGCTGGTGAATACTGTTAACAGAATAATAATAATAATAATAATAATAATAATAATAATAATACCAAGCATTAGCGCTCTACAAAGATCGCAACGCCTTACAATAAACAACAAACAGTTACAGAAAAATTCAAAAGAAATTATACACCAAAAACAACAACTTTATTACACATTTTGAAATAAGTGTGTTATTAAGTAGGCGCTTGAAGATCCCAGTTGACGCCGCTTTCCTGATATCAATCGGCAGTTGATTCCACAATTTTGAAGCAACAACAAAGAATTCAGTTATCACCAGCTATCTTGTTGAAACTAGGAACAACCAGCCGGGTGACATCAGAAGAAGAGCGGAGTCTCTTGCGATTTTTGAAAACACAAGACGTGCAGTGCAGATTTGTTTTGAAGACGATATACGCGTCTGATATCGACTTCCCTGGCACCGTACATCAGTGTGTTGGCATAGTCAATACGAGAAAGACCCAAAGATCTGACAGCACTATGGCATGCATCTTGAGTGAGGACTCGCCGAATCCGCCACAGATTACGAATATGGAAATTTACGCTAAATTTCATTAATGTGATTGGTCATGGATAGGGCTGAGTCAAATGTAACCCCTAGATTCTTTACAGTGGTGGAGGGATTATACAGATGTCTCCAAGTTTAAACTGAAGTTGTGGTAATGTGCTGATGACCTTCGGGGAATTAAAAACATGAACCATCCAAGTATTGATCTTAGAAATACAAGTGGAAAGTTTTGTAAGTGCACGATAAGAATCACCGGCAATCTTTGGATCAAAATCGCTGATGATATCACCATTTGGATGGGTGTACAGAGTGAAGCACTGTGGGCCTATTACAGAGCCCTGGGGTACTGAATATTTGAGAACATGCTCAAAAGACTGAATAGTCTTAATGGACGCTCTGGTACGACGTTCATAGAGGAAGGACATGAACCATGATTTAATGGCACCTGTAATACCAGAACGAGTCTCAGGTCTGTCAAGAAGTATTCCATGATCAATGTATCAAATGGAGCTGACATGTCAAGTAAAACCTTGTTCTTGTCTAGGGATTTGAGGATAAAATTTTCGACCTTAAGCAAGGTAGTCTTAGTAATGCTTGGAACTTCTCACCAAGATTGTTGTTGTTAATATGATTTGTAACTTGACATGGTGCCGCTTTTTCAATTACTTTTCCAATGAACATGATGTTTGAAACAGGTCGATAACTCTTAAGGGCGTTATGATTAAGGGTGGGTTTCTTAAGAACAGGGGTGATGATGGACCGCATTTTAAGGTTTTTTCAGTTGAAAACCATACAAAGTGCACAGGTTGGTCCTTCATAGTGAGGCGGGCATCGACAAGTGAATCCTGCGGACGAACTGCTACAGGTTCCTCCATTCACACATGGTAAGCTGCTACAGGGATCTGTTGTGAAAAAAAAGACAATTGTTTTTAGTGTATTTACTTTAAGTTTCATTTGTCGCCAACCAAGCCATCACAAGAACTGACTGTTTCTTCTTATTTATTTTTTTACCGAGTGCACAGGTTGGTCCTTCATAGTGAGGCGGGCATTGACAAGTGAATCCTGCGGACGAACTGCTACAGGTTCCTCCATTCACACATGGTAAGCTGCTACAGGGATCTGTTGTGAAAAAAAAGACAATTGTTTTTAGTGTATTTACTTTAAGTTTCATTTGTCGCCAACCAAGCCATCACAAGAACTGACTGTTTCTTCTTATTTATTTTTTTACCGAGTGCACAGGTTGGTCCTTCATAGTGAGGCGGGCATCGACAAGTGAATCCTGCGGACGAACTGCTACAGGTTCCTCCATTCATGCATGGTAAGCTGCTACATGGATCTGTTGTGAAAAAGAAGAAGAAAGTATTGATCAAAGTTTGGAGAAATCATCATTCTCAAGAAAAATGTTTGACATCTCTAACAATAACAATTGTGTATCAACAAGCGAGTCATTTGACAAATTTTATATTTATTAAAGTCAAGCCAACAAAACAGCTGACTGAAAGAGATGAAGATTTTTTTCAACCGCCTGAACTTTTAATCGTTGGAATTAAGTTTGCTATACTCATCCTTTAACGTCTTTATAATGAGACTAATTTGTTGTAGTTGATATTTTAGTTACGGTTCAGATTCATGCGAAATTGTAATCGAACTCTGACGGGAACAATTGTGCTTGTGTTCTTGGGCACGAAGCTTCACTGCAATTCCCTCTTTCCATCCAGGAGTACAAATGGCTCCCTAGGGACCACATTTCGCTGATATAGAGCTGCTGCAGAAAACTGTTCACATGTCATGACGAACAGGGGTAGTAACTGTTAAAACACTTACTTTCAAAGCATGTAACTCCAGAGAAACCAGAGGGACAGTGACAAACAAAGCCGTTGACGATATCCTCACAGGTCGCTCCATTGAGACAAGGAGAGCTGTCACAGTAGTTGGGTTCTGTTAGAAGTGAGATTTCAGAGAGACGAGTTACTGATGTTAGAAACAAAGGACAGGGGGAATGGTTGAAAACCATACACTTTGGGTTGTGACACAAACTGGATTAGAAACGGTCATTTTGATTTCATTTAGCCGTTCAACACAACGTCAAAGAAATATGCAAATACATTTCAGCCTACGATGGGTTTTCTAAATTGTGTTCGACATTGTCTTCTTTTCTTGATGTAAATCTTACAGTCGAAATCCAAAAACAAAACCAAAATGTCGGGGTCTATTTTCTACGTAGCGTGCGGCATTCGACTTAAGCCACTTAAGTCTACACTTTCTAGAGATTTAATGACATATGTTGATGTTACGTGGATTCAAACCACTAAATACAAACCTTTTTGGATGTGAATTCGCCTTATCTCATGGAAAGAAGTTGGGCCAAAGTTTTGTTCCCCTCTTCCATTTAGGTGCACACGGATGACCCCACTGTAAACCAAATCGCTCCAGTATATGTAGTCCTTGTATATCACCATGTCGAATGGATGGATTGGCGCGTACTGTGTAAGGTTTATCAGAAGTTCCCGGTTGTTACCAAGGAGATCCGATCGTTCTATCGTGTCAAGAACACCATCACACCAGTACAAGTGGTTGGCTGCAGAAAGACGACAGAAGTATCATTTTAATTGCATAGCATGTTTTACACGTAATATTATATGAAAGAAGTTGGCAGTTAAATTATCGCCATGAAGATAACGTTGATGATCCTTTGGTGTTTGAAGCACGTTAAAGCTTATTTGTCGTCATTTACCTTCTGTTCAGATTGTGGGGGCTTCCATCCAAAGATGATCAACTCTAAAAGTAGTTCTGAAACCAATCGGCTTTTTGAAAAAAAGGGATGTCTACGCTCCATTGCAAAATAGAGCTATTTAGGACATAAATTCATCCGAATTTCACAGAAATACGGCCTCGCGGCAGTCATCTGCACAACTTCCACCTTTTTTTATACAAAACCGCAAGTTCATGGCACTAACTGCTCTAATACAGGAGAATTGAGGGCATGCAAATCGTGATTTGGCCGGCGTAGGCAATTACGGGCCTATTTACTGGCATGCACCCTAAAGGATCGGCTACCTTAAAAAAGATATCCTCGGACCACTTCCATAACGATAGGCATGCATGGAAGACGGTGCTTTATTTTAACATTTTAATATTTTTGTATTAGGTTTGATGAAATTAATTTAAACGTTTACTTTCATGATCAAGGATGACGGCCTGTGGCCAAACCAAATTATCAGCAACCAGGGTGACTCTGTTCGTCCCGTCCGAGTTTGCTCTCTCGATCTTTGGAACGCCTGTGTCGTCTCCTACGTCCGTCCAGTAAATGTGTCTGGAACACGCATTTGGAAATATAACGTATTCGTAAGTTTTAGCATGTAGTATGACGGTAGACACTGGATTCGAAAACTGATTGGGAAAATTATTAGCAACTTTACAGCGTAGTACTACTGCTTAAAGCTACAGTCCATCATTTGCAGCTATCCAAAAAAAAACTGACGTAATTATTGTTGAAAAGCATACTTGGTTGAAAGATAGTTAGGGTACTATATTCCCTGTGAAATTATTCTCTCTGACATGCTGTCATTTTGGAGAAATCAACGAAAGAAGGCCTTTCCAACGGCGCGTCTTAAGCTTAAGACGCACTGTTGCAGTCAGTAGCCGAGCCACGCGTATCTGCTCTATTTTCTCGTCCCCACAATTGACAGCAACGCAAGGCCAGCGAACGATGGCCGTAAAAAAGAGCTTTAGAAAATTCGTCATTTTCATGGCAAACAACAACCGATCCAAACAAACAAAGACCTACTTCAAACATCCATCAAGGTATATTTTTCTCAAAAAAATAACGATTTCGATGCATTTTGACGATATTATTTCAAGGACAAATCGACTTAAAATTAGCTCATGAAATTTCCGGGTTTTTTCGAGAACGACGAAAGTCTCCCAAATGTTGAGGTAATCAAAGGAAAGAGTGAACCTTCATCTACAAAAAATCTCGTGAACGTGATGTCGTTAATATTTTAGAATTCGATGTTCACCTAGTGTTTCCAACAACTTCCATTTTTCACAACGCGAAAAAGATCGTTGCCATTGTAAAGCATAGAGCGAGGAACCCAAACACGGTGTGACCTGGTGCAAGGGCGGATCCAGAACACAATTTTTTGGGGGCCCCAAAAAATTTTGGTCCCCCCAAAAAGTGGGTCAAAAAAATTACGGCGTGGGGTTCGGATTCTAGATGCTCTGTGGTGCGATCTGAGGCAATTTCTGACCACTTTAACCAATGTTTTTTGAGGAAAAGATGGTGGTGTACTCATTGCCTGCCTTTATTGCGATGTCACATAAAAAAAAAATTGGTTTCGTTTTTTTTGGGGGAGGGGGGCCATGGCCCCCTTTGGCCCCCCTGGATCCGCCCTTGACCTTGTGACACATACGCCCACTGATTGGTCGAGCTCAAGTTTTGCCTGCTTAATATTCATAAGTCATTCATTGCACTTTAGCACGTGCTATTCACAATGTTTTCAGGCCAACGTACGTCGGCGTACTTATACACGCGTACATTGTGATTGCAAATCATGAAATCTCGCAAAAGTCTTCATTTTTCAACCGGCGATTTGGACCAAACATTAGAAGTCTCCTGCACGTGTTTCACATGAAAATGAAGCGTATACTTTCCTCTATCTACTAAGCCTTGCCATTTGTTTCGGCCTTTTTTATGAATCGAATGTACACCTAAAAACTATCGGCCCTCGATTTTGTTGATAAAAAATATGATATTGTTTGACAGGCCATTTTGTTGCATTTTGTTTTTCTTTAAACCTCGGTGGTTCGAACACTCCAATGCATTTGACCTTAAAATACAAGAGGAATATTTGCATCAACAATACATTTTTTTTTCAATTGAGCAAGCCCCTCCCAAATTGATGTCACTACTTTCCCGGGTTTTTTTTTCCGGTTTACCTCTAATTGCTCATCCACACGCTTCCTGTATTGTTTTCCTTTAAGGATATTTTTTGGGGAATGCCTCAAATTGATTTCATTTTTGCAGAGCCTCTTTCTTTAAAGAGGGAGACTCCCCCCCCCCCCCCCTCCGGAGAATTGCTACGAGTTGTACTGAGTTGTACTTACCCTTGGTCATGGTCAGTCACGATACCTCGGGGACGACTAAGACTTTCGATGATGATTTCCTTAGGTCCAGAGCCATCCATTGGCACCCTGCCTATTTGTCCCAGAGTATTATCGGTCCAATATGCCATCCTGGCCACCAAATCCAGAGCCAATCCAAATGCGACTACATGAAAATGAAAATGATTTCTGGCTTTTTTTCCCGTACCGTCGGGAGAATATGGCGTTACATTTACAGGAGGGGTGCTTTTCAGTATTTGGCTGGTTCGGCAACTAGCCAAAACAGCCTTTGTTTTCGTTAAAGTTTTTAATTTTTTTAGCTGTTTCGGTGACACACCGAAACAGCTCTTGTTTTCGTTAAGATTGTTTTCTTCTTCTTTATTCTTTTTCAGACTCCTCTCCAGTTTTGGTTTTGTACACGTTTTTCTTCTACCCATACACTTTGGCACTTTCGTAAATCCGATCGACTTTAGACTTGGCATATACTTAGACTACCACCCAAAGATGAGTCTAGAAGAAATTCATGATCGTGACGTCATCAGGTGTCAGGTTAAGTCAAGTTAAAGATGCATTTTCCCCGTAGGGTTTGTACACGTTTTAAAACACTTTACTTTGGCACTTTCGTAAATCCGATCGACTTCAGATTTGATACATACTTAGACCACAACCCACGAATGGTCCTAGAAGTAATTCGTGATCGTGACGTCATCAGGTAGGTGTCGGGTTACGTCACATTAAAGATGCATTTTTCCCCCACAGGTTTTGTACACGTTTTTCTTCAAACCATACACTTTGGTACTTTCATATGTCTGATTGACTTTACACTTAGACCAGACACTTAGACCAGCAACCGAAGATGGTCCCGATGATTTTTGTAACGATGACGTCATCATGTGTCACGTGACTTCATATTAAATGTGCATTTTTCAAATCATTTTTGAAGTACAAGTCCGATTGTGTTGAAACGTGGTATGCACATACACAGGAATGTATTACAGATGGAAATTGAAGTGACGTCATCATGACGACATCACATTAAAAGGGCAGACAGACACTTACCGGTAGACCACCAGCAGATGTGTTATAGATGACGTTTGAAGTGACGTCATCAAGTGTTCATCACGTGCACAGAGTATTTCAAATATCCGAAACAGCTTGTGTTTATCCACAAACACATTTCTAGTTCTTATTTTCCTTCTTTTTCAGCCATTCCTCATAGCATTTGTACACGTTTTTACAGTGGAAGGCACTTTGGGCAATAAAATCACTCCGATTGACTTTATACTTTGCACACACTTAGACCAACATCTGAAGTTGTGTGCCGAGCATTGACATCATCATGACGTCATCATGAGTCACGTGACGTCACATTATGTGCGAGTTTTCTATTGTGATCATTTTCTAGCAGAATTCGGCTAGAACATATGACGTCATTTAAAATAAACATATTTTGAAGGCCTATATCTCCAGAACTGCAAGTCCAATTGGGTTGAAACTTGGTATGTACCTAAACCGGGAAGTGTTATAGATGAAAAATAAAGTGACGTCACGACGACGTAATCTCGTGACATGTGACGTCATATTAAACGTGCATATTTTGAAGGCCGATATCTATAGAACTGCAGGTCCGATTGGGTTGAAACTTGGTATGTACCTAAGCCGGGATGTGTTATGGATGAAAATTGAAGTGACGTCACGATGACGTCATTACTTGACATGTGACGTCACATTAAAAATGCAGATTTTGAAGACCTATAACTACAGAACTACAGGTCCGATTTGGTTGAAAGTTTGTCTGTACCTAGACCGAGATGTGTTATAGATGAAAATTGAAGTGACGTCACGATGACGTCATCATGGGTCACGTAACGTCACGTTAAATATTGTTAGATTTAATCTTTGAAAATCACTATAAAATCAACCGTGAGCGACCTGAACTTGACGTTTGCGGGAATGGATAGAATAATCCAGGGATTCATTTTTTATATTATGTGCAAAATCACGTGATCCTTCCTTCCGGTTGAAACCAGAAGTGCCTTGTAATTCAAAATTGGTGAAAGATGTGAACTTGCTTTCAACGATGTATGCTTTGGCTAAGTTGTTTTTTTACTATGAAATTATAGTTATACATACAAATTGATGTGACGGCATCATGACGTCATCACGTGACATGTGATGTCATAATTCAAAGCCCTGTGAGAATGTAATCACATATTATATGCCGCCATTTATTATAAACAGAACTACACATCCTTCCTTGATGGAACTTATATTTGATACTTGCCACACGTCACAAAAAATTACCGAAGCAGCCCTGTGTTTGTCCTCAAACATAATCTAGTTGTTTGTTTGTTTGTTGGGGTGTTTGTTGTTTGGGGTGTTGGGGTGTTTGTTTGTTTGTTTGTTTGTTTGTTTGTTTTGGGTGTTTTTTTTAATTTACCTTCCCCGAATTCTGAGCGGGTAGGCCGTAGAGACACACCGGTTGGGCCACAGGTCTCCATAGCCTGGGGATGCCTCCGTGCCTGTTTTGTTGTACCCAATTGGAAGTTAAATATAAATGCTTTGATTCTTACCCCGGATATCTGAAAGTAGAATCATTTGGTTGGTCCCGTTGAGGTGTGCCCTGGACAGTTTGCCGATACCAGTGTCTGGGTGATACTGAGTCCAGTACACCATGTTCTCCGTTGGATCGTAGTCTAGTGCTTGAGGTTTCTCGACTCCTTCGAGGGGCAAAGCAGCCAAGTCAGCCAATTGCTTACTCATGCTTCCCGCGAAAATGGTGTAATTGTCAGAGGCTGCCACCAACATAAAATCACCTGAAAGGACAGAACAAATATCAATGGCGGGGAAATCGAACTAGATATAAATGAGTGGTGGCGCGCTACGCATAATGCTTTGCATTTCCTTCATAAATGTTGATAAAAGAGACAGTAGCTAGGTGGCGGGGTGGCGGTTTTTATGAAGTGAAGGCCAACAGAACAAGGTTACCGAGGCGCTTTGTTCAGAAACCCACTTACTCCCACTTACTATATTCCGTGTCTGCGACCATCATGTAGGCCTTTTTATCATTTGGGGACTGCTCTTTGTAATTCTCACTAAATCGCTGACTGATTGTTTAATTAGACTACCTCACCTTGGCCCAAAAATATGACTTGTATGACGACCAAGACCACGTACATAACTGGTCCGGGACCTTCTTTACTATAGGCTTGCCGGTTGTCTTGTTTTTGAAATTAAGATCACAACATGTATACAAATTTAACATGGAAAAGGGACAAATATTGTCCTAATACATTGACTGATAACGCCGTTCAAGTAACAGCTATTTCGTTTGTCAGTGACACACAATTCTACGTTAGTCCAAATATTCGTCTTGACATTTTGGTGTTTTTCGCCCATTTAAAAAGGCCCCTGATGGCCACTCAAAGGGAGGGCTAAAGAAGGGATTAAAAAGGAGAGCCAAGAAAAAAATACTCCGTGTAGAAAGGTAACTCTAACAGTCTTTCCTAAAGTGTATAATACAAACCTGCATCCACTTGTTTAAAACATGCTCCCATGAGAGTGGCCACGACCAAGATCCGCAGCGTCATCTCGCGAACTAAGGTCTGCATGATTACGGATTTCACCTGCATCAAAAACCGTTTGGAAATTCAGGGAGAAAACTGTATGATGATTATCAACGGCACTTACGGAAATGTAACGTATGCTAAAGTTGTTGCCCAGTAACTGTGATATATGATGATTAAGCGCAGTTTAATCAGGTTTATGGACGCGCGGACACCTCAAGAATTTTGAGAAAATCCCTGCTGTGGTTGTTTACGATTACGTCACACGCTGAACGCATGATTAACTGGCGGTCATTGGTGGAAAGTTCTTCCGCGTACATGTAGATAGCACGCAATAGCTTGGCGCCGCGTCGTTCTCGATTCCACCTCTGACCGGAGAACAGGCAATTTTTTCGCCCATGAAACTGAACCCAAAATGGAGATTGGTTGTTTCAGTTATATGAGTTTTCATTTTGAGTTCGAGTAACGCAAGTCCATAAAAAATATTGTTTCTTGCGCCTTAGGGCCAAAAGGTCAAAAGCGTGGTTCGTTGCGGGCCTTGCATGTAGCTGGTTTCCAGAATGTTTTGTGTACATTTTATGACTGCGTACTATTATTATTATTACTATTTATTCAGCCAAAAAAAAATACAAATATACAATAGACATAGACTACAATACATACATCAATAACCAAGAGAAAACAAAGAGAGTAAAAAAGCAAATCCCCTAGATGGGCTAGGGGCAACAAAAGTATTTGATGTACATTGTATGGGCATACGCATCGAGCTTTGCATGGGGTATTACTGGATGTCAAGCCTTGCAGCGGTCAAATCGACCAGATAAACATGTAATATATGTGGTTTCATGTACTTTGTGCATAAGGAGAATATTTTGTTTGTTGTATTTTGCAGATTAAACCTTGACTTGATCAATCCCTATCAGGAATGACCAAAGAGTTGTTTCCAAGCAGCAGTAGAGCAGAAAATGTAACAGAAGACAATTTTTGAGAAAAAAATCATTTACCATTTCTATTTTAATGGTTATTTTAGGACCTTTTAGGTTTTATGCCAGCCTAATGTAATTCAAATTTTCAAGAAGAAATCATCGATAGCTGCTTGACTTATAAATTGTCATTTTGCCTGTCGTCGGCTCTTTGTTTTGTTGTTCTTCGTTGATGGAATATAACACAATCAAGTAAATGAAAGCTATTCCTACTTTTAAGGGCAATTTTCTGCTTTATGTGCCCCTTTGAGGGTCACGATTTTCTGAGAAACAAAGAGGAATGAATGTTACCACATGTAAATGTGTTTTTAGGTAAAATTCAAAATTACCTCACATGCAACTTATCCGTTTCATTTAAAAATGTTGTTGTCTTAAATTGGACTGAATGTAAAGTGTGTCCATGTGCGTCGTGAGGGGGGCAAGGGGGGGGGGGCACTTTCCCCCCGAAAAGCAAACCCCAAAGAAAAAAAGAAGGAGAAAAAAGAAGAGAAAAAAAGAAAAGAAGTCGAGGTAAGAAGACATATTGCTGTTAGTATAACTAGTGCAGGGCCAGTCGAAAATGTGCCTGTTCGGAAGGGGCAGTTGAGAACTTCAGCTCTGCAAGCAACGCACGGTGCTTCTACAGGTTAAACGCACACATGTCGTCATCCCCTGGCACTGATATTCACCCCTACTGGACAATATGGTATCGCCCTACAGTAAGAGTTGCTCAGTCGAACGCCTACATACAGTGCAGTGATGGTTGCTCAGTTGACTGCAAAATGCATGTGCCCGTGCATGCCCACTCACGCACATGTACGTTCGGAGACATGGTGTGCAGTGCTATTCACCTTTACTGCACAATGGTATCGCCCTACAATGCTCGTGCGCATGCCCGTCCTTTTTGCATTGTTGTGTCATATTGAGCACGCGTGCTAAGCTCGAACATGACGTAAACAATTGAAAAGGAACATAAGTGCGTGGTGGTCTATATGCTATTATACTGCCATGGTTTGCCTCAGAAAATATTGCTTTTTTTCAGCTTTTTCGAGAACCCCTCTTCCAAACCACTTCAAACTTGGCACTGCACATTATGTGGTCCCGAGCAATACACCCGCCGATATTCAACTTTATACGGTGCCCGGTTCTGGAAATAATCGACGTACAGACAGACAGCAGACAGACACACAGAGATTTCTGGAATTATAGTAAGGATGCACATTTAACAACACTAGTGCAGGGCCAGTCGAAAATGTGCCTGTTCGGAAAGGGCAGTTGAGAACTGCAGCTCTGCAAGAAACGCACATGATTCAATGGTGCTTCCACAGGTTGAACGCACACTCGCAGGTTAAACGCACACATGTCGTCATCCCCTGGCACTGATATTTACCCTTACTGGGCAATGGTATCGCCCTACAGTAAGGGTTACTTAGTCGACCGCCTACACAGTGATGGTTGCTCAGTCGACTGCAAAGTGCGTGTGCCCGTGTAGCCACTCACGAACGTGTACATACGAAAACATGGTATGCATGCGTTATATAACTGACATACAGATCCTAGTCATTTGATTGGTGGAACTCACATCACGTGGCATTCGTTATTGCTCCCATTCATGCCACGGCTCAAAAAGTACTATCCGCCCATGGGGAATGGGAAATACTATTCAACAGTTAGGATCATGACGCGGTATTTGTGTGCAAATGCATGCTGGTGTGCGCGTTCAGCGTTGCGCGTAGCGCGTATTGTTCCAAAGAGCCAATGCTACAGCGTTGGGTTCAAACATTTTCGTGAAGGGGTGGTTTGGAAGAGACAAATACATTTTCCTCCAGGTTTGTATTGAAATAAAAGTTCAAATATATCAAATGACAAGGATCTATATGTCAGTTATATAAAACAAATATTGAGTGGCTTTAAATTGTGAAATGGGAGGAATATTATCGCTCGGTAATATCTGAACTTTTCCATTTCACTCGGCTTCGCCTCGTGAAATGGAAAAGTCCAGATTTTACCTTGCGATAATATTCCTCCCATTCCACGCTGAGCCACTCAATATTTGTATACTATTCACCCGTCCTTTTTCCATTGTTGCGTCATATTAAGCACGCGCGCTTTTGCTCAAACATGACGTAAACAATTGAAAAGGACTGCGCGTGTTCTAGGTATATAATCTGCCACGTTGGCTTAGAAAATGCTGCTTTTTTGCAGTTTTTTTCGAGAACCGCTCATCCAAACCACTTCAAACTTGGCACTGCACATTCTGTGGCCCCGAGCAATACACCCGCCGATTTTCAACTTCATACGGTGCCCAGTTCTGGAGATAATCGACGGACAGACAGACAGACAGACAGACAGACAGACAGACAGACAGACAGACAGACAGACAGAGATTCCTGGAATTATAGTAAGGACTAGTGCAGTGCCCGTCTAAAATGTGCATGTTCGGGAAACGCAAATTGCTTTGCCGCTGGTATAGGTTGCATACTTGCAGAGATTTTGAGAACTGCTCGTGCAAACAACGCACGCTATTCAATGGTGTTGTTTTCACAGGTTGAACGCACACTTACGTCAAAGTTTGTGCCAAGTTTGAAGTTCGACCACCTACAATGGCCGCACAGTCGACTGCAAAAATAATGTGCCCGTGTATATACGGAAACATGGTATGCAGTGCTATTCACGATCACCCATTATAATACTGGACAATGTATCGCCCTACAATGCACGTGCGCGTGCCCGTCCTTTTTGCATTGTTTGCGTCATATTGAGCACGCACGCTTTAGCTTAAACATGACGTAAACAGTTGAAAAGAACAGCAGTGCGTGGTGTTATGTTCCAAGCTGCCACATTTGCCTCCGAAAATACTGCTATTTTGCAGCTTTTTCGAGAACCGCTCATCCAAGCCACTTTAAACTTGGCACTGCACATTCTGTGGCCCCGAGCAATACACCCGCCGATTTTCAACTCCATACGGTGCCCGGTTCTGGAGATAATCGACGGACAGACAGACAGACAGAGATTCCTGGAATTATAGTAAGACTAGTGCAGGGCCAGTCGAAAATGTGCGTGTTCGGAAGGGGCAGTTGAGAACTGCAGCTCTTGCAAACAACGCACATTATTCAATGGTGTGAACGCACACTCGCAAGTTAAACTCACAAAATGTCGTCACCCCCCCCCCCCCCGGCACTGATATTTACCCCTACTGGACAATATGGTATCGCCCTACAACTGTATGGCGTAGTTGCAGGGCGATACCATATTGTATTAGACTTGCTCAGTCGACCGCCTACATACAGTGAAGTGATGGTTGCGCAGTTGACTACAAAATGGATGTGCCCGTGCATGCCACTCACCTAGATATGTACGTACGAAGACGGTGTGCAGTGCTATCTATCGCCCTACAATGTGCCCGTCCTTTTTGCACTGTTTGCGTCATATTGAGCACGCGCGCTATAGCTCGAACATGACGTAAACAATTGAAAAGATCCCAATGATGTGCCCGTCCTTTTTCCGTTGTTGCGTCATATTAAGCACGCGCGCTCTTGCTCAAACATGACGTAAACAATTGAAAAGAACAGCAGTGCGCGGAGTTCTAGGCTATATTCTGGCGCGCTAGGCCTCAGAAAATACTGCTTTTTTGCAGCGTTTTCGACAACCGCTCGTCCAAACCACTTCAAACTTGGCACTGCACATTCTGCTATCCGGAGCAATGCACCCGCCGATTTTCAACTCCATACGGTGCCCGGTTCTGGAGATAATCGGCGGACAGACAGACAGACGGACGTTCTAGCCAGACGGACTTGTGGGGTGATAGCATTGTGTTCCCATTATCCCTTTTTCTAAAGATTCCCTTCTGGGGTGATGTTTTTCCATTGTGTAAAAAGTGGGGTGATGTGTTCTGAAAGGAACATCACCCCACAAGGGTGGTCTGGTCAGAACGGACAGACGGACAGACGGACAGACAGACAGAGATTCCTTGAATTGTAGTATAGATAGGCGTACGGTACAAGGGCAAGGGAGAGTAAAGTACAAGGGTTTGAGAACGTTGCCCCCTCTCGAAAAAAAATCCTGGCGACGCCCATAAGCGTA